GTAACTAAAATAAACTTAATAACGACAACAAATGACGTGGAATTTTTTAAGTGCAAAAAAAGATACTCAATTTTAGACATAGCATGACTGAACCGCAAGAATTTTGCTCGCTCTTTTTTCCACTAACTTGGTGACATTTGTGACTTAACTTCATAAAATATTTAAGCAAAATTTATTTCATATATGTATACCGAATTTATCGAATATTATATGAATCACACAGTAAAGAGAAAGCACCAAAATCCATCATACAAACGCAAGCTAGTAGTTTATTATGCATTATGGTAATTCTAATTTAATAGACAGGATTACACACATATTGAGTAAGTAGGCAATGAAATCTGATGATTATTAATTCACATTCCATCAAGCCTGTGTATATAAAGGGAAACTTTTGTCCAAAGTGATAAAGCAAAACCTTTATTTATAAAATCGCGAAATAGAGAAACCCAATCTCGCTTGATCATTTTTAAAGCCTCCTCGAAAAGAGGAAGTACAGGAGTATGGTCAAGATTTACTCAGAGACCGAGCCAAATGAATGAGAGGATATCTGATTTATTGATGAGAAGACCCTGAATAATTTGTTTTGTCTATTTTATTGTTCGATCACTTGCTTCCGCAATACTAAACAACAATCTCGCTCCATTTTGTTCTTTCTGACGGCGCTTTAACTTCTATGAACGACTAAAACCACCTAATCTCAATCCAAGCTTACATCCTTAGCTTCACAAAAAGAACAAACTATTCAGGGTCTTCTCGTCAATGGTTATCACATATCCTCTCATCCATTTGGCTCAATCTCAGCGTAAATCTTGGCGATACTCCTGTACTTCCTCTTTTTTGAATGAAGCACCCTGCCTCGATGGAGAAGTGCCTTGTTTTTCGTTTTTCTTCGTCGAAGTCGCCTCACTCAAGCTCTGATGACCGCTGCCCTTGGACCCACCAATGTTTGATGGCCTAGCTCTATTTGTTATTGCAATGGCCGGTGTTGTCGCAGTTCTATACTATTGGGAAAAGGGAAAAGTACCAAAAAAGTTCTCAACCTACTGCGTTGGTATCAATTCAGTCCTAAACCTTTTAATTGGACCAGTTTAGTTCTAAATCTTTTCACATTGGTACCAATTCAGTCCATCTGACCAATTTAAGTCGGAATTCGCTGATGTGGACGCCGGTTGTCCTTCGGGGTATCGCAGACACTAACGTGGACAATTTTTTATGTTTTTTTCCTTTCCTTCTCCTTCCTTAAACCTGTGGCCGGTGACCGGCCACAGGGGAGGGTCACCCACACCGACGAGGGCCACCTCGCTGCTTGGGGGAGGGCCGCCCTTGGCAGATCTCGCGAGGGTGACCCTCGACCAGGCCGCGAAGGTCCAGCTCTCGCCAGATTCGAAGAGGGCCGCCCTCGCCAAGGACGCGAGGGTCTAGGCCCTCGCCGGCCCCTGCTTGTGGCCGGTCGTCGGCCACAAGTCCAAGGAAGGGAAAAAAAAGAGGGGAAAAACATAAAAAATTATTAAAAATTGTCCACATCAGCGAATTCCGGCCTAAATTGATCGGATGGACTGAATTGGTACCAATGTGAAAAATTTTAGGATTAAATTGATCCAATTGAAAAGCTTAAGACTGAATTATTACCAATGCAGTAGGTTTAGGACTTTTTTGGTACTTTTCCCATTGGGAAAAACTCCTAGTATATTTTGAAGTTAACAAATCTCTCCATGAATTATATCGCTAAAATAAATGCAAATGGTGCTTATGTTTCATGTAATATTCGCACTAAAGGAATTCTTTATAATTAACATAGCGTCACTAACAAGTCTAGAGCAATGAGGAGTTCATATTGACTTGGAAGTATCAAGGTTTTATCTATGTAACTATTGTTGTCAAAGTGTACTGATTAGAGTAGTTGATCATATTCAAGAAGCTGGAAACAACGAATTGCGTGGATATCAGTAAGGTAACTGCGTGAATATCAATAAGGTAACTGTGTGGATATCAGCAAGGCAAAAACTATATGTCAATAATAGGGCGAAGGTTGGATATGAGCAAGGGAAATGCTGGATATCAGCAAAGCACTGAATATCACTAGAGTACTTGAATATTTGAATATTAGCAAAATACCTATTCTACCTGCAACGAAGTTTTTACCACGAAAAATTCTTATCTAATTCATTACCACTAGTGATTTGACATGAATTCCTATTATGGAAAGATATCATTGATCATTAATCTCAAAGTATATCTACATGAACTATTATAAATATGTGTAACATCTTTGTGTAGTGGCAATCACCATGAAGACTAAGAACTTTCCATAGTTGAGCTACTATATTTTAGGAATCAAGATTTGATTGTATGGACAACCAAATATATGGGAATTTAGATTGATTGACCACAGCGGCTACCTAATCTTCCCTACAATCGTCCAATGAGTAGATTGGGGATTAATCCTTAGAAGATTGTCCAATGGGAAGCTTGGAAGCTGAGGAGTATTAAAGAAGACCAAAGACGTCGAAGAGGAGGGGAGAAATCAAGAGTTCATAATTCCAAATTCCAACGGCACTTTACATATTTTTCATTGTCTTCCATGAGCACCAATTGTAATCTTTTCAAAGGTGTTGTAACGCCCTAAATTTCCATAAAATTTGAACCTCGCATTTGTATATAAATTAACTTGACTTCCGATAAATAACTAACTTATCCTCAATTGTACAAATAATTTAACTTTAACTAATATACATCAAAACCTCCTGTACAGTATAGAAACCTATCTCCACTTTTGCTACGCACTCTGATCCGATTCTTACTAGTGATCTTCGGAAGCGTTAATCTAATGCCCCTGAACTCCTAACCTGACAAATCTGTATAATATATTAGGGTAAGCCTAAGCTCAGTAAATGAATTCTCTAGGTCTAAGGTAGAAGATTATTCTACCACTCAAACTGGGAGCACAACAACATAAAAACAACCAATATTTCATAACGAAACACTTATAGGAATCACTATAATTAGAGAACGGCCTTTCACTGTCTATATAAATATAACCGATTCTTAATTAATCATGTATTCATAACATAATAATACTCGAGAAGGACTATACGCATCATGTATGATTCAAGCACTCGTCGTCCAACCCAAGTATGACATGTCAAACATTTCATCTTCTACGAACACGCATCATAATATACATCAAAATCTACCTCTTCAACCATATATTCAAATTGCTCATCACTTTCCCACTTTAGTAGCAAGGATATCAACAAAATAACGTGAGTTCAAGACAAGTACAAGATTATTACGTTCTACAAGTGAGGAAGTACATGCACTGCCTTTTCTATCATGATATGATGATGTAAATCATTAATAACATTGCATAAGATTATTCATTAAATACAAGCAGATGGCATATCATTTCATGATGCACAAGTATCATCATAGTAGCTCACCGATATACACAGGTGAGTTCATATTTGTCACTGGCCAGGACCATTTCGATTAATGAGGCATCTTGACTAACGAGGCATCGTCACCACCAATTCGTGGGGAACGGAATCATTCTTACCCTTTGCCATGCCTCAACCTATTCATCGCGGGTGTCCTCTACTTCAACGAGAATAAATACACCACTGTACATCCGCATAATGATAGCCATTTCTTAATATCATACCATGACTATGCAAGCCATGTCATGCCACGACTGCACAAGTCATGTCATCATAGGATTTTATGTCATTTCAACCTTGTAGACAACTGTCTCATACGGTAGAACATCTGACTAACTCCAGAGTCTCATCCACATACTCATACAATGGAATTCGCTCGGTGGCGAATAGGCCATGGCAAAGGTTTTAATCGCGTGGCATCATTCACATACATTTCATAACACACATAACAATCGACAATATGAACATCAATAACTCAAAGAATCGACCACGTAATTAATCGGCAACACTTAGCTAGTATTTCAATAACTTAGTCGAATTACAAAAATATTATGATTATCAAGCCATATTAATTAAATTAAACACCAAAAGCCATTTATTTTTCATCTAAAACATATGTGTATTTCATTTACACTCTGGGCATGCCACATATTTTATAAAATTGCCAAAACAGCCCACTTCAAAATTAATTACACAATTAGGTCCAATTTTGCATAGTTAGATACTTTGTCTAGATTAAGCAATTAACTCTAAAAATAACATAACCACCTATCATAATAAGGTTCCTCCACTGTGAACAGTCCCCATAACTTTCAGTATTTACAGATTCGCCCCTCAACTTGGTGAAATTACAAATTTGCCTCTAAAGTTTATGAACTCATTTTTTTAACCGGTTTGATTTCCTTTAATTAATATTACTTAAAAACCCACTAAATGACACTAAAAATCATAAAATAACACTGTTCTCAGACCCTCTTCATTTTTGTAAATTCGAAATTGCCCCATACCTTGACAAGAAAATTACCAAAATACCCTTTTTATGCCTAGTTTTACCATTTTCTCATTCTTTCCCATCTAAGGTGCAACGAAACCATTTGGGTATTCTTTCAAACACCTTTTAGGCATGCATTAAAGATTTAAATATAGACAAGAAATCACTACAACTCTACTTGTAAATCTTGGAACCTATTTGCACTTAAGATCAAATTTAAACTAAACTAAACTAACAAACATAACCAACCAATGGCCTGTTTGGTTCAGCATTTGAATGCTGCTTTGGGGCTCTAAAGGCCCTTGGGCAAATGCAAAGTTGTTTGGCAAATTTTTTTGCAAGCTTTGAGGAGATGCAATTGCATCTCCAAAGCTCTCCAAGGGCCTTTGGCTGAATGGAGGGATGAAGGAGCATTGGGGAAGTAGCATTTTCGGGATGCAACTGCTTGGTTTAATGAAAATTTGAAAACTTCCAATTTTACCCTCATTTATCACCGTAATTCCATTTTTGCCCATTTTTAAACAAAACCCTAAGTCACTCTGCCCTCTCTTCTTCGCTGAAGACTCGCTCAGGCTTCGCTCTGCCCTCTCCTCTTCGCTGAAGATTGTTGCTCTGGAGCTCTCTTCCTTCACGCCTCGAGCTCTTTTCCCTCACGCTCTTCCTTCACGCCCGCCCTCGAGCTCTCTTCCCTCACGCCCACCCTCGAGCTCTCTTTCCTTCAAGCTCGCTTCCCTCACGCCGCGATTGCCTCTCTTCCCAAGCACTCGGTAAGCTCCCTCCCTCCCTCCCCCCACCACCTTCCCCTTTGCTCTGATTCCGCGCACTAGAATCCGGGTCTAATTAACTCGGCGGTTCTTCTGTAGACCGTCTGCAAGGGGAGGAAGAAGAAGACGATTGAGCACTTCGCCGTGAAGAGCGTCGACAAGTCTCGGAAGAGCAAGGTCCTCTACGAGGTGAGTGTCCGTGTATCGCCCCGCAATTTCGTCAATTTACGCATTGTGGGGGCTTGCGGGTGCTTGGGGGGAATTCGAGTGTAGGATAGGCTCTTTTAAGGAATTCTGGTGGTTACGGTTTGATTTGCTACGGGTGTGATGAGGTAATGTGCAAATTGGATGGGATGATTTGGTTTTGGTTTGTGTTTCTTGGTTTTAGTGGTTTGGCATGTTGATGGGGGGTGGATTGGTGTCCTTTTGATTCGGTTTGGTGAATTGGGTGTTGATGATTTTGCTTGATGCGGTTTTGGGGTACAATTTTGTTCATGCAATTGATTCTTTTCACTGATTTAGAATTTTCATGATTCTTCATCTTAGTTGGGGAACTGTTCTTGGTACTGCAAAGAATTTTTTCCTTGTCTCTCTTCTTGGTTGAATTCGTTGGCTCTTTGGTGGATATTATTATTTGTTCAGCGTTACTTGTTGGTTGCATTATTAGCGCTTAAAACTTTTTAATGGATCCGTGGATTGTTACAACTTGCGGTTAGAGAGCAGTTCTTGCGATCATTGATAATGGGAATTAGAAAGATTTGCAGATAAAGTCGATGTGATCTCAGTTCCTGTATCACTTATGGTCTTGTCATCCTGTAGAACAATTTGTTTCTCTTTGACTGACTGTCCTTTTTTGTCTTTAGATAGAAAACATAATCATCAATGTACATAATTTGTTCTCTAAAACTTTGATAGAATACATATGCTCTGATGTTCAATGATTTTACTGCTCGAATATATGGATACAACTGATGTCTCTATTAGGTCTTTGCATAATCTTGAGTATGGAATTTGAAATAGAAGTTTTTCATTAATTGTGGAAATATTTTTTTGTACAAAATTTGAGTGTATGTGAGAAATATTTTGTATGTTTTTTGGTAGATCATATGTATATGTTTCCCGATTGTGTGTGCTATGCACGGCTGTGCTATTGTTGAGGGTTGTATGTCATTTTTTTGTGCCTGTCAAACTTGTTCATTTTCATATACTAGAAGATGGCAAGTTCAACCAAGGAAAAGGCATATTGGACCACCGAAGATGTGGAAACATTTTGTCAATTGTGCGTTGAACAAATCGATAAAGGCAATCGTCTTGCAACCAACAAGAGGGATGGATGGACAGTCATAATTACTAAGTTTGACGAATTGAGGGGCAAAAAGTATGATAAGAGTCAAATGAAGAGTAAGTGAGATAATCTTAAAGAAGAATGAAAAAGATGGAGGACATTGGTTCATAGTGAAACAGGACCAGGATGTGATTCAAGGAAGAAAACCATTGATGCGAGTGATGAATGGTGGGAGAGTAAAATTCAGGTATTTATCTTTTCTTCTTTTACTATTCCGTTAAGTTCTCATCTTCAATGATACAACTTACTCAAATGTTCTATTATAATAGGCCAATCCTAAAGTGAAGGTTTTTAGGACGAGAGGCATACCTCCTAATCTTGAAGTGTTGTTAGAAAGAATGTTTAGGGATACAGTTGCTATTGGAGGAATCACATGGAATCCTGCTCAAAATTTACGTATCGATGAGGATGTTGAGACCACACAACCTAATATCGGTGATGGTACAGGATCTACTGATGATAACTTGGAGTGTCATGAGGGTGAACAGATTGCTGAACCAACTGTAACTCGGAGCCGGAAAAGATCGGCGCAAACTTCAACGAGCCAAGCTCGAGGGAAGAGAGAAAATAGATTCAGCCCAGTACAACAGCTTGGAAACCAAATTAATAGGCTATGTTCCACTGTTGAAAGTAGGAACGCTGCCCTTGTTGCAGCTCAAGCAAATGAGGGATTCGGTCCTTACAAGGACCTCATAGCAATGTTGGATAGCATACCTGAGATTGCACAAGATGAAAAGTTATACTTTTTTGCAATCAAACATTTTAAGGAAAAGAAAGACAATAGGCAGGTCTTCATGAGCTTGATGAGTGATGCACTAAAAGTCAAGTATCTCAAGCTTGAGTTGGAAGAGCTTAATCATAGTTAGGATGTCATAGCATTTTTTTTTTAACTTTTTGGTATGCTACTTTGTTCTCGTACGACATCTCTAGTTGCATTACGTGTGAACCCAATTTCTATTAATGTTTTAATGTGAGTGTGGTGTTATCTTTATGTGGTTGAGTTTGCGTATATTTGATTGGTGATGTTGTTTCTCTTGATGGATGATCAAGTTTATTAATTGTTGTTCTTGCTCTAACTCAATATTTTGTTACGTTAAGCAGATATGGATGATTCTCCTGAAAGGGAAAATCGCGAAACACAGGAAAATGAATTATGGGATGTTCTCTCAATTGCTCAAGCTTCAGTTGTTTATCAAGCAACGAACCTTTGCAAACAACCTTGCATGACCTCATCATATACAGGTTATGAATGGTTGAGAGAATTGATGGATGAAGATGCTAATCCGATAAGGTGCTATCATATGTTTAGAATGTATAGGGTTGTATTTAATAATTTAACGCGTGAGTTAGTAACACGATATGGCCTTAAAGGATCTAGGAATACTGATGTCGCAGAAATGGTTGGAATGTTTCTTTTTATGTTGGGACATGGTATAGGTAATAGGTTAGCACAAGAGCGTTTTCAGCGCTCCGGAGAAACCATAAGTAGGCATTTTAGCTTAGTTTTAGATAAAGTATGTGACATGGGGAAAGATTTGATTCAACCAACTGATTGCCAATATAAGGAAGTTCCAGAGAAAATCAAGAAAGATCAACGATTTTATCCATATTTTAAGGTAAGTTACGATTATACAATAAAAATGAAAAATGAAATGCAAATCAAGTAATATTTGTGTTGTTTGTGTTAGGATTGCATTGGAGCTATGGATGGTACACATATCCCAGCGGTGATACCTATGTACGATCAAATTCATTTTATTGGTCGAAAAGGAAAGGCGACTCAAAATGTGTTGGCCGTATGTAATTTTAACATGGAATTTGTCTATGTTTATGCCGGTTGGGAGGGACAAGCTCATGATACCCGTATCTTTTATGATGCCATTGGAAGACGTGATGCATAATTTCCTCATCCTCCTGCAGGTTCGTTAATTAATGGTTTATGTACATCCATATGTATTTATGTGGCATTTATTAATTAAATTTACATTATATTTGTGTAGGTAAATATTATTTAGTAGATGCTGGATATCCAAATCTCACGGGTTATTTGGGGTCATATAGAGAAGTTAGATATCACTTGCTAGAGTTTCGGCAAGGTCCTGCACCTACAGGTTATCGAGAAGTATTCAACCGTGCCCATTCCTCGCTACGCTCAGAAATTGAGCGAGCATTTGGCGTATTAAAAATGAAGTGGAAGATTCTAACTACCATGCAAAGTTATCCATATGAAAAGCAAGTGCAAATTGTTATAGCAACAATGGCTTTGCGCAATTATATACGAAGAAATGCCGTGACTGATAAGGATTTTGAAACAGCAACTTTGGATCCCGAGTATGGATATTCAGTTAATCATGATGCTATAAATGAGGAGGCGAGTACTTCAAATGATAATACATCTTCTGACATGACATATTTACGTGATGAAATAGTCTTGAGTTTATGTAATAGTTGAGGAGCTTTGTAATTTTTATGGATAACTTATTTCTTTCATCGGGACATATGTGATCATGTTTATTATATTGAAATTACTCTCTTTTTAATAGAGAAAGATCCACTTTCATGTGATTTTTTTAATTTATAAATTTGTTAATATATCTCTTTTACATTAATCTCAACGCGAAAATGTAAAAGTTACAGTCATTAATTTTTTAATTTTAAACTAATTAAAGTTAAAAAAAAACTTAAATTGGCATAGCAAAGGACTTTCCAAATATAATGTTTACCAAACAGCATTTCCCCCAAAGTTGCATTCCAAAGTACTTTTCAATTACAGTTTACCAAACAGTATTTGCATTTCACCAAACCCCTTTCCTTTAAAGGTATTAGCATTTTCCCAACGGTTTTTCCCAAAAGCCGAACCAAACAGGCCCTAAGTCAAGAGTACTAAGTAGATCAATCTGACTTAGCCCCTAGAGTTTTCACTTACCTTAAATGGGATCTTGAACAACCAAAGCCTTTACTCACTTTGTAAGACTCTTGAAAGTTGAGACTAAAATCACAACTTAATAAGATAGTTGGAGGTCGATCGAAACTTCGAATTGGAAAAAAGTTGTTTCGTTTATGGACGATAGGGAGATGAAGCAATTCTTGAAGTGGAAATTGAAGGGGGTGATGTCTTGGCCAAGAAAGGGGAAAGAGGGTGTTCTTTTATTTTCTTTTTCTTAACTTCACTAATAATGATTGCTACAAACCTTGGTTAAGTTAAAATGTCATGAATGATGTCATTTTGATGACTAAGTTCAATGGCACAAATACAAGCATGTGGGTTAAATACTAGGTCTAGAATCAAGAGAAGTGTTCAAGTGAAAGGGTGACAAGTGGCTTACTTTGGTTGATTAAAAAAAGAAGATATTTGATGCTTCATCAAGATAGTTTGCAATTCAGTAAAGACACAAGAAAATCAGTGCCTGTTCTAAACATTGATAAGTCTGAAAAATATTTTAAACTCAATGAAATTATCCACAAAAGCTATCGAACGTTAGGAAAATCTTAACTTAGTGAATCCATAGGGTGTCGAAAGGTGCTTAGAGACGAAAACCAACCGAGGCTCGGCAATCTTTTGATTCTTGTTGTTGTGGAAGGAGAGCTTGAGTTTGGCGAGACTGTTGAAGAGCTTACAAGAGACATGTGGAAGAAGATGGAGCACTGTTGTACTCGAGGTGACTTGAAGGGCTAGCCTCTTTGGGAATGAGAAGAGGATTTGAGGTTGTGCAGTGACGGTTGCAGCGGTGACGATGGCAATAGTGGTAGTGGTGGTGGTTGGGAAGTAGAGGATGGTGGGACCGGGTGGTTAGGGTTCAAAGGAGATGGTGACAAAGGAGAATATGAACTGAAGTAAAGGAGAAAAAAGAAAATAAGAAAAGAAAAAAAAAAGCCCAAGATGACAATATCTCTGGCCAGGGCTTCAAAAGTAGCATGTGAGATGTACATGCTTGCCAGTTGACATGTGTCGACGAAAATTTGGCTAGCTGATGAGCTTGAAGCCTAATTTGAGATTTTGTTAGTCACTTCAAGGTTTTATTTATGACAAAGTCTACTTTGGGCCATATTATGAAAATAACAGCTCCATTTCGGACCCTTAGATGAATTTTCCCTGACTTAGGCTGTGTTTGTCCGAAAAATATTTTCCGAAAAATATTTTTCGCGTTTTCAATTCGGGGCGAAAATATTTTCCGTGGGAAAACATTTTCCTTCCTCACCCCAAATCCTTCATTGTTTTGAGAAAATGACTTCCGTTTCGAGAAGCGGAAGTCATTTTCCGGAAGTTTGAAGCTCTGCTTTGCTTGAGACTTCTTCCTATTTTCTTTTTTTTTTGTCTTCGCTTCTTCTACCTTAGCCGCCGGCGGCCGGCGACCGGCGAGCTCGGCCTCACTGAGCCTTGCCGATGACCTCGGCGAGGTTCGCCGACGTCCGGCGACTCCGGGTGAGGTTCGCCGACGCCCGGGCGAGGCCCCAGGCTCGCATGGGTCAGAGCTCGGGCCTCACCGGATCCGGCGACCCGGGCGAGGTCGAGCTCGCCCGAGGTCGCCAGATCCGGCGACCGGGCGAGGCCGATCTTGCGAGGCTCGAGCTCGCCGGCCGGCGAGCCGGGCCTCGCCGCCTGCGGCAACGCTCGAGCTCGCCTTTGTCCGGTCGCTGGACGTCGGCCGTGGCCGTGGCCGGCGACCCGCCGGAGAAGAAGAAGGAAAAAGAACACAGGCCGGGCGGCGATTGTTGCCGAACGGCGGAAAATATTTTCGAAACTTTTTCATATTTCAGTTTAACACGGACTAAATTGTGTTCCGGAAAAATATTTTCTAGGAAAATGATTTCCGGGAAAACATTTTCCAAAAACACAATATTTTCCACCAAACGAACGGAGCCTTAAATTACTAGGTTGAAGTTATTCCTCATCATTTTGAAATATTTCTAATGTGAGAACAGTGAGATGACTGATGAAGGTACATGATTTAGTATTTAGAAGTATTAATACTATGAAAAACCTTAAACTAGTACACATGTGACAAATTTACCAAAAACTAATTTTTTGACCACCAAAAAACCCAAATCGGTACATCTATGACAAATTCACCAAAAACCCCAAACTAGTACATTTGTGACAAATTTACCCTATGTTGGTTTCCGTTAAATTAAATTAATACCACGAAAAAACATAAACTGATATACCTGTGATAAACGGAGGATAAAACCCAAAACCGGTACATCCGTCAATTATCACGTGTCATCAAACTCAGCAATTCAATAGTAAAATTTAATGAAAACTACTAGAAGATAAATTTCTCACAGGTGTATCAGTTTAGGGTTTTTTGTGGTCAAAAAATTAGTTTGATGTAAATTTATCACGGGTGTACCAGTTTGGAGCTTTTCGTGGTATTAACCCTATTCAGACGTATCATTTTTAAAATAAGCTTGTGTTTATATTTCTTGGAAAAAGGACACCAAAAATACCACAACTTTGTAAGCACTCATTTCAGTGTCAAAACTTTTAGAGTTATCACTTGAGTTCCAATTTTGTAAACAAAAGATCATCTTAGTGCAATCAAATCCGACGTTGCAACTTTTTAGTTTTATATGTCCGACATGGCTCGTCGGCAAAGTGAGTCGGCATAATTGGTGCTAAACAACATCGTTTAACACATTAATTTGTCCCATATTGAGTAGCTGGGGCTAAATCACAACTGTTTTTCAAACCCTAACCGTAAATTGAGGAATTGGGGCAAAGAGGAAGGCTCTACAGACGAAAGAAGCGGAGAAGGAAAGAACGCTAACCTTTGCTTGAGAGGAAAGAACGCTTTCCCGGAGGGTAGAGAGAACATGAACATTTCTTGGAGGGTAGAGAGAATTTGAATGTTTTCTTCATATCCAAACCATTGCTTTAGATCAAAGAGGAACATCAACAGCAAATCAATTTTCTTCTTTCCTCTGAAACCACAACCCCAAACAACAAAGAAAAAGGCGATGTTCATTGAGTTTTCTCAAGACTCGGGCTTGCCCTCATTTTCTCGGAGGAGAGAGACAGAGGGGAAATGCCAGAAATTCTGGGCTTACGGCATGCGAGGCATCTTCTCACGGTTGCAGTAGTGTCACCACTACTTGCACTAGGAGCTCTACTAAAGATGAAGGGCAAATTGAGCGGATCGAGAAGAGAGAGATGGTGAGTAAATTAAATAAATTTGCCAGGTGATCTTGTCGTTTATCTATATTGGAGATCAATTTCTTTTTATAAAAAAGTCATGTTGGAATTAAAATCTCATTAAAAAGCCACCTAAGACGAACCATAGGAAGAGGCACTAAAGTTATCGTTTTTCATCAACGTAGCACTCAAGTGAACGCTCGAAAAGTTTTGACATTAAAGTGAACGCGTAAGAAAGTTATGTCAATTCTAGTATCTCTTTCGGATGATTTGAGGCGACTAATACTTATCGAAGAGCAACATCAAACAAAGTCAAAAGATGAATTAACTTGCTTGAAACTGCAAATTGACGAAATTTTTCAGTACTCACCCAAAAATTCACAATAAAATTTAGATAGCATCAAAGCTTCGTTTATTTTGCAAAAAATGAATGATTTGGAAAATATTTTTTTTACACTGATTATTTGTAGGAAAATGTTTAGGAAAATGTTTTTCAAATCATTCATTTTTCTGGAAAACAAATAGAGCTTAAATGATTATTTGTCAATAATAACTCCATAAAGGAAATTTCCACGTACGATCCTATGGAAAATTTCTCCTCGCAAAAGAAATCCAGTAGTAGACTGTGTTAAAGGCGGGTGGAGGCCGACCGGTGGCGGCCAATCGTGCCGTGTGGGCAGTGGTGGGTGGTAACGGCAGCTGCCTACTGTCGTCTAGCTTAATTATTCCATAACGATTTCTCATTCTTTGAAATGCAACTCAGCACCAACGGGCAAACATATATCAGTTTCACATTTTTCACGCATTTGAACCAGAAGAATGCAACTTCTTCTTTCTATTGCTCCTCACTTACGCCAACCCGAATGATCCGATTACGAGCATGATACTCCGATTTAATTTCTTCTTCTTTTCCTATCACTAAAACCAAAATAATTTTTTCGTGATCATCATCAAGCCCAGCTCATGCAAGAACTCTCGAATCAGTAAAACCCTAACAAAGTAGGCAAACTGAAGGTAACGAAGAAATAGGATTCATCTCCGAGAGAGAGAGAGAGAGAGAGAGAGAGAGAGAGAGAGAGAGAGAGAGAGAGAGAGAGAGAGAGAGAGAGAGGGAGTGGGGAGGGAGATCATGATCAGTCAATAACAATCTTGCTCTCTTTTGTTCTTTTTGATGGCCTTCTGACTCCTATGAACGATTAAAACCACCAAACCTCAATCCAAACTTACATGGTTAGCTTCACAGAAAGAACAAATTATTCATGGTCCTCTTGACAATGATCATCACCTATCGTCACGTCCACTGGCTCGGTCTCTGCGTAAATCTCACTGATACTCCTGTACTTCCTCTTCTTCTGTGGACGAAGCGCCTCGACTTGATCGAGAACCGCCTTGGTTTTCGTTTTCCCCATCGACATCGCCTTGCGCCGGCTCAGACGATCGCTGCCCTTGGACTGATCTTTGGCTGGGCCGCCTCGATGGAGAACCGCCTTGGCTTTCGTTTTCCCCGTCGACGTCGCCTTGGTCTGGCTCTGTTGATCGCCGCCCTTGGACTGACCTTTGAGTGCCCCGCTTGATCTGTTGCTGCCATGGCTGCTGTTGTTGCAGCTCTCTTCATCGCTCAACTGCATGAGCTGCTGTGCGGCGATGATCTCGGAGGCTGTGTGGCCTTCTTGGCTCCATAATCTGATCAATCTCTCAGTCTTGTCCATTTTTATGGCTTCTCTGGGCTTTCAGGAAGAGAGAGCTTGATTCAAATGGTTCTCTCTCTCTCTCTCTCTCTCCAGAGGCTGAGTTGTGATATATAAAGGCCAATGGCTTAACTAGTACATACATCGAGATAAATCTGGACCATTAGATTTAGCGAAACCCAGATGAGGCATACCATTTCGACTGATCTGGATTTAGTTTATACATACGTGACTCATACAATGATATTTCCTTATAAGTATGGCGTAAACGGCAATCTTCATAATTATGTGAGCGGGATAAGAGAGAAACCTGCGGTACCCACTCCATAAGAGGAATGGTTATGACGTGCTTTATTTTATGGAAATGTTGGTTGAAAATCCGAGAAGTACTTGATAAACTCGTTCCATGAATATGAGTTTTTTTTTTTTTGTGAAGTTAGACGTGAACTTCTATAGTTTCTGGTAATGCGATTGACTTGATTTCAGCTGCTTGGAGTTTTAAACTCCATATTGGCTTGCTGGTATATTTTCCAATTGGTTCTAATAGTTGCCAAGAATCGGCTCATACCTATGAACGGCATAGAATTTCGTTAATACATCTTTTAAACTCTTGCTTGTCGCATTCATATTCGAGTGACGAGAAAACATCAAGTGTCGTTGTTTTATTTTATTAGGTCAATGATATACAAAAAAAAGAGAGGCATTAACGCGGTTTATATTATACACCATATGAAAACAATGGAGCATGAATTTATCATGTATAAAAATTTGATTGTGTCTCATTCAAGGAAAGAAAATTTTTGATTTTGAGTAGTTTTTTCTCCCACATCTTGTGCGAAAAAATGAATTTAATACAAATATTATTTTTCACCCTCTGACCGTCAGATTACATTCCATCAGCTCCCTCGGTCTAGTGACTGGTTCTTCTCTCAAGTAGTTGGCTAAATCTGGTCCAAAAATAAGAGGCCCTCCTCATATTTTTTATATTTTTTTTTAGGTTTGAATTGAATAAAGTACCTAATGTCGACTTTCTTGCTATAGTTAGTGACTTCTAATTTGTTTCAATGCTCAGGTTGGCTAACCGGAACGTAATGCAAAATTAAGTCTATCGTCACACATACCACAATCTTGACTGGGTCCGCCTAGTTCACAAGAATCAAGATTAGATTTGATTATGTTTATGAATAAAGTAACCACAAATCAAAAGATACACCCTTCATCCGGGACGTAAGAGAGGATAAATTGAAACATACATTTCATGTTAAATTGGTTTTGTATCTTGATACATTAGAGATGATTATTTCGATTGAAGTGCAAATGGAAACCGCTGGGGAGAAATTGTACAATTGGTCTTAAACTTATTTTACTGATGTCATTTTAGTCGTAAAATTTTAATTTGTTAATTTAGTTCTAAATCTTTATGCAAAATTTCAATGTAGACCTTCTGGCCAATTTTTTATCAGAAATGACTGATGTGACGGTCTAATCATTGACGACCATCCCACATGACATACTCCCACGTCAACGATTTCTAGCGAAGATTGACTGAAACGACTACATTAGAATTTCGTGCAAATGTATATGATTAAATTGACAAAATTAAAAAAATTAAAGACTGAATTACCATCCGCATAATAGATTTAGGATTGATTGAGTTATTTTCCCAAATCACTAGCCCAAGTGGGTATTAGGAGTAGCTTTTGTTTTGAATTCTCTTTTTTTTTTTTTAATTTTTTTGAGGGTTTTAAATCAGACTATTATTTAATGTTTAGCGCATCAAATATTACAAAATACATACGCAACAATGTTTATAATAACCTGTGTCTTGTTAAATAAAAAAAATTCACGTACGTCCATTTATTTTGGCTCAAAAACTAACATGAACTCAGTATACAAGTCCTTTTTGGGGCCAATAGAGTCATTAGGGAGTCAAGGAAACGGAGCGTTGACGCGACCCGTAGAATAGCAAGACTTAAATTGTTTGGCCAAATTCTTAGCAAGACTTGGTCAATAAAATCATCCTATGTTGATTTTGTCTGCTCTAATGTAATTGGTAAAAAGCCTACTGTTGCGTAAGCACATCATTCATCAAACCCAGGAAAAAGTAAACAGGACCAAAGTCCATATGGTCCATCTCGTGAAAGACGTTTTTCTTTGGACATTCTTTTATCTCGGTGCTTGAAGAGCAAACAGTTCGAAACTTTGCGATGCTTCACCGCGCACATACGAGAGAATGCCGAACTCGCACCTTCTGCGCAATGACAGGAGTGAAGGATACAATACAGCCCTTGATTAAACTGGTATATTTAGACCGCACGACCGCAATATCGTCTGCAATCATATAAGCGAAGCAATGATTAAAGAAAAGGGAAACCATGAGTCCCTCCATCACAGACAAGAATTCGAAATGCAAATTCAGCTCATAGATTATCAATCCCTCCCATCGATGGTACACAACCTGTAAGAAATTTGCTGGAAATGCAATCGGAACACTCCCTAGCTAGAATATAATATACATGAATCTCAGCTTTCGAAATTCAGCAAAAAAGTTTTGCTACCCAAAAGTTATTACCTCCCAATGGAGCATGAAACGATGCATTGCCTGGGGCAAGCTGAACAGTTTCACGTCTTCCACACCTTAATTGTGCCATCCACGGAGGCAGTGATCATACAGTCTTCCTTCGGATGATAACTTACACTTGTCACCTGCAAGAGAAAAGAGACAACAACCACAGTGAATTGGAATATTTACAACTCCGAAAATCTGGGCATTGTGATGAAGATCCATGGTGAGTTCTATCCACAACACTCCAAAGAATCAATAGCATCATTAACGTTGATTGAAAATAGGCTGCCCTTGTGACCTTTGTTCAGGCCGTGGGAATATACCTTTGTCCTCTAGGATTTTAAGGACACTTGATTGCTGGGACTATACCTGTCCCCTAGAATTTAAGGCTGATTGATTATCATCAAGCAAATTAATATGAGCTAAACTCAACCTACAAGGAATTCTGGATGGATCTCAAGAAACAGAATGGCCCATGGAACGAAATAAGAAAAAAAAAAAGTAGGAAGGATTTCCACCATTAAATGACATTCAAGCCACGAAATGGGAGAAGAAGATAAATTTTCGGCAAATCCATGTTGTCGATGCATGAAGGAGAACTTCTATTCTTTCTGTACTTCCAATGAACATGGTAAATTTGGAGAAGTTTCTACATTCTACCAATAAGAATTGGGTCATAGCAAGTTCAGTGGACAAGAAATCTAAGCTTGGCAGAGTGTAAGAGTCCTCCATTAAGAGAATGAGCTCTCTAGTTATTTTCATTACTTTGGAATGAAAAACTCAGAAGGCTATTAAATTGGAAACATATTTGCTATTTAATCATTTAGAGGGCAAAATTCATAAGTTCAGTGCAGTAAAAAAGATTTTTATGGATGTAACTGCTGTGATAGACACTGTAAAATGCATATTCACCCTAATACAAGCGCCTGCTTCCGGGCTTTGTGCTATTTCTGTACATTTCACAATCCGTTGATGCATCTAAAAATAAAAACTTCGAACTAAACCAAGATCACCCCATCTTATGTTCCATCTCAAACACATGTTGAGTTTAAGATCTAGCGGTACGGGTAGGGGCTGGTTACAAGGTATAAACAGAAAGACAAAAAATTAAATCACAAATTGATAATTGAGAAGAAACTCATAACTAATCCTTTTTGTAATATCAGCATCCGGCTTGTTTCCACTAAAGTGACAATATGACAATGCATCTTTCTATATGAAAGGGCACATATAAAATACAACACATGTTATGAACGATCAGCACCATGTATCAAGACATATGGTACAACATGTACAGCGTAAGCAAGAAAAGACTCACCACAGACGCATGAGCTCGGAATTTGGATATCACTGACACATCGACCAAATCCCAGAAGAAGACATAGCCATCCTCAGATCCACCAGTCACATGTGCATCACTATTAGTAAGACAGCAATCCAATTTGTAGGACTGATGAATCATATCAAACAAGAATCATTGTTACTACATAAGGATATGACCCCGCCATAAAAAAATTGAAAAGAATGAGTGCAGAGCAAATTTCGAGTGAGCAAGTGTAACTAAATGGCACATCTGCCAAAGCTAATTTACAGAGGACATTGAGGAATCTAAACAGAATAACTTATCTTGAACCAATGGATGTATAACAGGTGAAGTTTGATACCATGAGATGGCACGGCATGGAAAACAAAGTGGCATTTTCTTGGTGCACCAACAATCTCAGACTAATAATTATCTTAAAAAATCAATCTCTACATTGATAACGAATCACTACTGTAAGAAAGTGTCAAGATTTACTAAATTTTCGAGTGCAGGGAAAAATTTCATGTGAGCGAGTGTAACTACATGACACATCTGCCAAAGCTGATTCACAGAGGACATTGGGGAATCTAAACAGATTAACTTATCTTGAACCAATGGATGTATAACAGGTGAAGGTTGATACCATGAGATGGCATGGCATGGAAATCACTACTGTAAGAAAGCGTCAAGATTTACTAAATTTAGTCATATGAAAACCTTGCAAGTATGGCCCTTATATTCTTGCAATAGCTCACCAGTAGACCTGTCATAATAAAGGACAGTCAGCAGAAGCAGTGAGAGCAATGCAAATTAAATGACTTCAATTGCTTACCTATCTACAAGACGCAGTGTTGAATCTAAACAACTCGCCAATATGCAGTTACCATCATTTGACATTGAAATACAGTTGACAGGTTGCCCCAAGTCGTCAGATATTTCTCTACATGATAGGGTGACAACACAATTATTAGAGAAAGGCATCAACATTTTCTAGCTATATGGAGGTGTCAAATACTTTCAGTTTATTGTGACCTTACAAAGAAAGAAGAAGAAACGAATGCACAAGGTACAGCCAAAATTCACAGTTCAAAATAGAATTTTAACCTTCTTCTAAAGTAGAGAGATTTGCCTTTCTTAAGCTTCAAACAACTTTTACACGCGGTAGTGTTTAGAAAGCAAGAAGGGATGTTCACGACACAATGCACATACCTACCAATACGAATGTCAAATGTTCGAACGGTACCATCAACGCTTCCACCAATTATTTCAGTTTTTGTTAAGCAAACAGACATAACACTGTCTTGAAATGTGTTGATGATCTGCAGTTCAATCAAACAATTCAAGTCAGTTCATTTACACGGGCATATATAATTAAAAAAATTCGACAACGTCAGCTGGCAAGTTACCTGAATCGGTTCAGCATTATGAGATCTGCAGTCCCAAGCACGCACTGAACGATCATAGCCAGCTGATACTACGACAGATGCATATTCGTTAAACTTTACCGTGTTCACCTGTGAAGAGAAAGGGATTAGGTGGACATTATGAGAAATTCTGAGAGATATAGGATATGGCCAGTCGAGAAAAATTTACAGTTCGAATTGTTGTGAGTGCGAACCTCGCTGTCGTGCCCACGAAATTTCCTAATGACTCGGCCAGTCGACACATCCCAATAGAATATCTGCCGGTCACCGCCGCAAGATATCAACTTCGAATTGTCCCTACATTACAAGGCGAAAAAGATTCAGCATTCGGACCAGCATTGTCAACTCTCAGTCGGAAAAAAGAAAAGGGCATCCAATAGATTCATACATCATTTTCCTTTTCCACTTCCTAACACAAAAAATCAACATAGCAAGAGAGCAATTTTCTGATCCTGACAACAGAACCAGGACACTTCTCGGCTCAACACTACACAAACCCATTTCAGATTCACAATCTCGACGAAACTAGTCCAGCCCCAATCAACTGCCGCCTATCGTACACAAAACCATGCAAACCCAACACAAAACTAAAGCAATTCAATCTTCTTCACGATCAAAAAGCATCTACCCTGAGCCTCCGACCGAACACACACGTCAGAGCAAGAAAACCGACGGCATCGTTAGAATTGCAGAAATGGGTCGCGAGATGGCGGGGAAGGAGGAGGAGGAAAATTACGAGGTGCAGTGGACGTCGCGGACTTCGCGGCCGTGGGACTTGTAGGTCTTGATGTGGATGCCACGGTGGGGGTTCCAGAGGCGGATGGTGCGGTCCTTGCCGCAGCTGAGGCAGTAGTTGCCGTCGCCGTTGAACCGGGCGGCCAGAACCGCGCCCTCGTGGCCCTTGAGCACGGTCGCCTCCTTCCGGGGGAGGCCGCTCTCGCTCATCTCGAAGCTCTGAACAGCCGGCGGCGGCGGCGGCGGCGGAGAGGAGAATCTTTTAAACCGGGTTGCCCGCCCGACGGGCCCGACCATTGTTGCGGGCCGGACTATGACTCTGGCTAAACGGGCCGGGCCGGGCGAAACCTATTCCAACCTATAAAATCTTTTGTATCTTAGTTTACACTTAAAAAAAAAAAAAAAACACAAAAAAAAGGTTCTCCATCAAAGTTTATCTAGCTTCAAAAGCTTATGAAAAAATTGTATGTGAATAGACGTGTCGAAATTTGTATATCATGACGGTTTCGGGTATTACGGGTTAAGAAAAAGTCAAATTGCGTTTGTCGCGAAATTTGAATTAATTTAAAATTTTATCTAGACAAGCCATGAAAATTTCTTCATCTTTGTGCACGCATACACGTGTGTGTATGGCATTCTTCCGGTAATTGGTAAAAGAGCATGTCTGCAAATAGAAAAGTGTAAAGTCTTTGAATTTTCCAAGAGAAAATGTAAAATATTTGAATTTCTAGCTCGCCATTTATCATTGTACGAATATGATTATCTTGATGATGTACGTGGGCTTTCGAGAAAGTTAATGGCAAAAGATTGAGGCCGAAATCAAAGGATATTAAATGAGGATCTTATTGACGAGTAATAGCAATTAGACACATCCATTAGTTTTGCCAAAATATACTGGAATTTATATTGCAAATGACGCTCAATAAGGCTGCTCTTGGTTTAGCTTTTCCAATGGGTTTTAGGCCTCTAAAGCCTTTTGGAAAAATTTTGAGTGTTTGGCTAGTTTATTTGGGACCCTTTGGCCAAATTCTGGCCTTGGCAAAGTTGAAAGGTCAGGGCAGGTGGGGAACCTGAGCTTTCAGCATTTTCGAAAGGCTACTTCCGTTAATTAATGAAATTTGATCAATCGCCTTTTTTGCCCTCAAAAGCGTATTAAAAGTCCAATTTTACCCCTTTTAAAATATAAAACCCTACTTCTCATGACGCTTCACTCAGTTAGCCTCCGCCTATTATCGCTCAATTGCTCTGTTCTTTTGCTTCACTCTGTTTCTTCAATTGACCGCTCCATACTTTCGCTTGGCTCAATTTCATACGAGAGCCTCTCTGCCTGTTCGCTCAATTTTCTCATGATCGCTCGTTCTTTGGCATTTCATGTCATATAATTGGGAAAAAAATTTTGAAAAATAATATTTACATACTTTTTGCAATTTTGGCCAAGCTTTGATGGACATATCAAACGTCCCATTGACTCTTTTTTTTTTTTTTCACCGACGGAAGCTCCTAACTCGATTATTTCAAAAATTCGGTTTGATTTTCAAAGAAAAAGTGGGATCGCGAATTTTGAAGAATTGGACCGAATGGACGACTACAATATTTTCTTCAATATCTGATGGCCGTGATTGACCCTAAATAACTTAGAAGATTAGAAAGCTCTAAACCTGACAAGGTCCTATGTTGTAGGAAGTTTAGGTCAAATGACTGAGTTAACCTCGTTCAATTGCCCAAGCTGAAGAAGATATTTTCAAATGGTTTAATGCAACTATCCCAACTTTGGCATTTGAGTGTAGAAGGGTGCTTCGAAACTGAGGAGATCATCATTGTATCCGAAAATCCTTGCTTGGACTCAAGAACAATTCGAATTCTTAAAATGCTAGTACTTCACGATCTTCTGTAGAATGACTCATTGATTTCCCTTTAGCAGGAGAATGCTATCAATTTAAGATCCATTGATGAATGCTATTTAAAATTATTTTTTTCAAATATGATTAATAGAAAATTCTCATACTATAATTGATAAACCTAATCGTTGGATCAGCAATCTTGACCTGGTAAATATAATAATCTATATCTATAATAAAATAATCTAAATCTGCAAGTCAGGTACTTTATTAATTATCTATGTGCATCTATCATGACATTTGCAAGAAACCTTTCATATCCCTAAATTCCTCCGTTTATGAACAAATCCAATCGACTTATTATTACAACATTAAATCATATTTATTCATGGCATGCGATGAAAGTCCTTTCATTCCCCTCCCATCATCGTTATAAATATACACCAAGCCTTCACTATTTCTCCATCCTCTCTCGTGGCCTTAAGCCTTCCGTAGTCGTGCATCCCAGCTTCAATCATGGCCTTGAAATGCTTGCTCCTCTTGCTCGCCCTCGACAGCATACTGGCTGATGGAGCCGCAGCTCGCGAGATAAAAGCCCCAGTCGACCACTACAAGCCGGGCCTCGACTTGGCGGCGCGGCTCGAGGCCGTCGAAGCCAGTGGAGGGCTGGTCGAGTGCTGGAACGCGCTGGTGGAGCTCAAATCGTGCACCAACGAGATCATCCTCTTCTTCCTTAATGGGGAGACCAGCTTGGGGCCTGGGTGTTGCGGGGCCATCGACATCATCACCCGCAACTGCTGGCCCGCGATGCTCACTTCGCTCGGTTTCACGGCCGAGGAAGGGAGTATACTGCGTGGGTATTGCGACGCGGCGGTGGCGGGAGCTCCGGTTGGCTCGCCGACTCCATCTTTGGACATGGGTGTGGCTTAGACTAGGATGAGGTTGATGGAGTTAAGAGAGGGCAAAAGTGTGATTCCGTCTGTTGATAAATAAAGTTGGATTTTGAGAGGCTTGTTATATCTGTGGGTGTTGCTTCAAGGGCACAAGTGAAATTTTGGTATTTTTCTTAATCTATATCTATACTATCTATCTAATACTTATCTTCTTCTATGTTTTTACTAATTATATAGAGAAATATCTTATCACCCACCAAAATATCAAAATGGTTAGAGAAATGCATGCCACTTATCTACTATCTCAAAAATATGATAAATCGCTTACAATGGGCTCCACTTATCAGCTAATTCGTGCCACTTATCCACCAATCCATAATACAATATCTATTCATAATTGAGGCACGTGCACATTGCTGCCAATCTCTTACTACATGATTTTTTTTTTAGCAAACTCTAAGTTTTGAGTGAAACATATGTTGATTCGCGCATTACTCAATTTGGTTCTTCATATTTACATACACATTGTTTTGGACGTCGACATTGAATGAGCTTTTTTATGGCACCAAAAGAGCATGAAAGTAACCACGCATGCGCAGAGTGCGTGCTCAAGGTCTAATCTATGTAGAGCCAAAATTCAAATGGGATGCCCACCCGCGAATAGACACATAAAAACCCTACCCACTATTAGACAATCCCTAGAAAATGGAATGAAACATGGTGAAAATGTGGAACCCCTTGGCAGATATCAACATGAATCCATCTTCTCTTGTTCTGCACTCGAACGAATCATGATTTTGGCTACAAAAGAAGAACGTATACATAAAAAAAGATCGTCACATCTTTTGAAAGTGGTTTGCCTGTCATGAAGCTTTCTCAGCTTTCCTTAGCTGTTTGCGTGAAAAGAAGTTATATGCTAAATTTAGTAAGTGCGACTTCTTGCTTAATCATATAGAATTCCTGCATCATGTGATCTCGAAAGGTGGCATTTCAGTTGATCCAAAGAAAGTTGAAGCTGTTGTTCAGTGGAATCATCTTACTAATGTTACAAAAGTGGCGCCTCGGTCCAATTTAGATCGCTGCCTTGACCCTCGCGCTTGAAGACCATGCAAATCACCAGGTGTGATCACTTGGAAATGGCTTTCGGAGGTCACTGTGTGGCCTTCGAGCTGGCCTCAGACAACCATGAGAAAGCAGTACTCCCATATAATTAAATTAATCATGCATGATAAATCGATAGTACTACTATTAAGAGAGAGATTTGGCGATGGTCTTTCACAAAATTGGCCAATTTACACTCACTATAACTTCTCTAAGTTCTGCTACCTTCTTTAACTTCCACGTTCTTTTCTGTGCATTTATTCTTCTATATTTTGATGAACGTTTCTCCTATACTAATGTAAATTTAAATGAGCCATCGAAACATGTGCCCATAGTGCGTGGGAGCCTTGTTTATTAACTGATTGATAATTCTGTATAATTGAGAGAATTATATTTTGTTTTGTATGAGATGTAATTTTTTACATTTTTAGCATTTATTGAACCTACTATAATCGGTCGAACACAAAAGATATAGTAGCAAACGTTCTGCTAGAGCGAATTTTAAGCAGGGACACATCATATATATTAAATTGAAGATTGCATCTACATGTTGTTCTTCATCTATGGTTGGTCCTCTATCTTGCCTTCCCTTGCCAAGGTATCTCTTGTTGAATATCAACCTTCTTATCACATTCCCACAATAGTGCCACGTTGTGGTTCTCAAGTTCACTTGATAACCTGAGGTTTTGCATAGGTTAAAGACATGCTTCACTACGTTATCGGCTTCCTCCGCTCTCTTGTTGTGGAGCCACTTGTGCCGCGCCGGGCGTACAACCTCTAATACCAAGACCTGCCTCATCTTCTTCTATTACTCAATCAAACCGACCTTGAGGCGAATGACTCGTCCTGTTTTTTGAGGAATTCTTGGGCGATTGTTGGATTGATTACGGGAATGACGTGCATGCTCCCTAGACGGATGCACGCTATCTCGGTGTTCCATCTTCTTCATCAGGCAATAGATCCACGGGAACATGGGCTTGTTGCAAAGCATGCCCAGGGCGCAACGGACCACCGGCCACGGGACAGGGCCTGGAGGGAGTGGGAATGGATTATGTTGTTTTTGATGATTTTGCGACAAAACTGCCGTTTCGCAATATTACATAAAGTGAGGAGTGCCAAGAGAAGTAGGTCATAGATGGTGGCCGAGAATAAATACCATGATCGAATGCGAATTAAAAGCGCGAGCAAAATTAACATGCACCAATGCAATAGGTTTAGGACCAAACTTGCGCATGCATAGTAAATTGACACTAAATTGGCACAAAATTGGCACCAAATTGGCACAAAATCAGCACAAAATTGGCACCAAAAAAAGATTTATGACTAAATTGGCACCAATGTAATAGGTCTAAAACTTTTTTGACACTTTTCCCATGCATAGTAAATGAAAATGAAAATGAGTTTTCCTACTTCC